GAATGCAAGAATAGTGGAAAATTTTAATGATATCTATGCAGAAAGTATCGAAGAAATCTCAGAAAGCATAGATAAACGACAGTGCTGCATTTTGCAGAATGCACATCAACCTCTCACAGTTAGAAAAAATTGGCTTTCAGTTTAAAAACAAAGGCACCAGTGATGAATTGCTAAATGTAAAGCTAGTGAAGAATCTTTTTTGTGTAGTTGCATATGCTCTGCTTTACACGTATAGTAAACACTTTCCTTTCCTCTGGAAAAGTGCCTATTAAGTTTAAAGCTATCGTAATAATTTCTATACCTAAAGTTTCTAAGCCAACCGTACCAGCTGAATTTATGCCAATTAATCTGCTTCCAGCTCTGGATAAAATAATTGAAGCTTTAGTATGTTAAAGGATAAGAAGATACTTCGAATTCAATAACTTACTGCATCTATACCTCGGCCAATCTGGCTTTAGAAATGACGACTCCTGCGAATTAGCCCTACAATATGTAGGTATGTGCTAAGTGTAGGAAAGAAATGAATGAGGACAAGGAGTGCTCAGTGTGTTTGTGGACCTGCAACACGCGTTTGAAACCATTGATCGAGATATCCTCATCAGAAAACTAAGCTCCTATGGGTGTCGGCAGCATAGCATTGGAATGGAAACTAAGGTAGGATCTAATATTTCCAAAAAAAGAAATAGTTCAATAATTGGAGTCCCACAGGGAAGTGTTCTCGGTCCCCTCCTCTTCATCATTTATGTAAATGGCATTCATAGGGTTCTAAACAGGTCTTTTGTAAACCTTTTTGTTTGATTTCTGTATCAGGAAAAAACATTAAACAAATTACTGAGATTTTAAACAATGAACTTACAGTTCTTTATGACTGACTTTTCAAAAATAGGTTAAAATTAAATGCTGAAAAAACAGAGTGTATGATTATAGGTTCTAGAGCAAACTGTAAGAAATATACAGAATTTAGGCTTAAAAATCTCAAAATCTGTGACTCATTTACCTCCTTGGTTCCGCTCTAGTTAGGTAAAAATAACCATTTCCTTACCAGCAGCGTGCGGAAAAAAGCCCATTTGAAAAAGTATTGGAGAGAGTAACGACTTTTCCGTACTACATGGAAAGAAATTTTGGATACTATTAATCCAGTAGGGTAGTATTACAATCAAATTTTTGATCAATATAGCGCCAATCTAAATTTAGATTAATATCAATAAATGATTCGATTGATTTACTTGTAAAGCTAAAATCTGCTAAAATATATCAAACCATGATAAGTAGCAGCAAATGAGTTCCAATAAATAACAACCAAAATTTGATTATTATTAGCAAAAATAAAATTAAATTTGCCTATGATATTCCTGAATATAATTTATATATTCTTAAGTTTAGCTAAGTATTGAATAGTATCAAGCAATTTTTGGATCAGTTCAAGTTGATTGTAGATAATATTTGCTAAATATATGATTGATTTTAGAAAAAGATATGACGAAAGATAGCAAATTGACAAATAATTAGGATAAAATTTATCAAATAATTTGATTACTTCTTGCAATATTTTGATGTTATATATCTAATAATTGAGTGCAACTTATCAAATCTTTTGATTTTGTGCATTCAATATTTGATTGCTGGCCAATTGATTTTCCTAATTAGCGGTGGTGGTGGGAAAATAGTAACAATAAAATGAGGTTTCGGTTTAATTATTATTTATTCTGCATTCGTTTACAATATTGAATACTAAATTATTATTATCTCCTACTAATTTAACCTAAATAACCTTCTCAAAAGGAATACAATTTATTCTACCTTTTATAGATAATAAGAAAATAATAACAGCCGTATGCAACATCCTCTTTTAACTTTAAAAGCGACTTTGAAAGTCAATTGCTTAAGAATAAATTTTTTAAAAACTGACAAAATAGGCTAAAAGTGCTTTTAAAATTAAAAGATGATGTTGCATACGGCTATAAGTCTTTAGTGTAAAAGCAAATTAATCAGCTTACAGGAACCAAATTAAAAATATAAATTTCCTTGTATAAAAATAAAAAACACAATTCCGCAACTCCGTAACACCCTATGTTATTAGTAGGTTTTTTTTACAAAAAAAACAGATGAAATGTTCGTTTCTACTGGAAATTTCAATTTCTCTCCCATAAAGAAACAAATATCACAAATATCACTCACAAAACTCAATAATTTATTATTGCCAGTAAGCACTGCGTGGCACTACGAGTACGGGTGCTAGAGTACGAAAAAATACACAAAGACAACTTAGACAAGTTTTTCCTGTGGACCGGGTGCGGCGTGCACTCCACATAAACAGGAGAGACGTTCTTCCTCCAACAAAACACCACACACTAAAATATTTTCAAATGAAAAATAACTCAAGTAGCCAAAACCGTTAGAAAAACTTATAGGTATTTGCTTGATTTACTCCTTATATTATAGATCAAGCCAAATAATGGCTCGATTCTAGAAGAGTTTTATTAATTTGGTCAAATATTTGATAATCGTAGCAAAAATTGGATAGAAATAGTTATATATTTGATTGTTTTCAGTTCACTGTTTTTTTTTCTGTTTTCTAAATTTCAGTAAATTCTATGAATAACTTAATCCAGACAGGAATACATTAATTTAAAATATCATAGATATTAAGCATTTATTTTATTGATCCCATCAAAACCATATAGATCAAAAGTAAATTAATGCCCATATTATTCTGTGTTGAAACCTAAAATATTTTAAATCAATGTACCTAGTAATTAATTCCTAATTGATTTGATTTGGAAATGTATAGATCTGTGAAATATGTAAAAAATTTCACTATGATGCTTGTTGAGATAACTTTGATGGAGCTTATTCTACCAGACACTAGGAATCTCAATTTCTCAAATTGATCTTCTTGATAAATCAGATATTATCCTTTAGTTAAACTATTATCAAATACAGCTAAAATAATATAATCTAAGAGTTAATTTGAGCAAATTTCTTGCGAAAATTAATCATGGGAGGTACATCAATTCGATTTTTAATGTTTGATTGATTTAAGAAAAGCGTTTTCTGTAATCAATCTAAATTTTGATGTCCCAAGAAAAAAAATTGATGAGATTTAGCAGTTTAAGCATAAAAACAAGAAAATTGTATCTATTGATATTAATTTCAATTTGATGTTATTAATCGTAAGCGAAATTAGCAGATTAATCTTAAAACGCTAATATTTGTCAGTTTTTTTCTTGTTTTATTCCATTTTAGATTAAACTAATTTATTTGGCATAGATTATGGTATTTCTTATTTCAATAAGTCGATTTGATTCATTTTATCAAAGCATTTCTTTCCGTGTAGTGTGGAATTTTTTTTTCCGCACGCCACACTCGATTGATATCCAAACTTCGCAGCTAACGGTAATCGCGTGCGGAAAAGCGATATTTTCCGCCGTTTTATTTTATGTTTAAATTAGGGTTTCCACGAAGGTTTTTCGGAATTCAGGATAAAGAGGTCAAGAAATCCGGACAAAATCCGGACTTCGCCGAAATAGCTATTTATGCAACAAGGGTGTAAAGTTAACCTTTTTTCACGAATGTAAATTTTGACAATTACATGAGTGCAAAACGGTTCACTCTACACACGTATCGCATATGTATAAAAAAATTTCTACTACCAATAGTAGGTACCAATAAAATATGTGTCAAAAAATAAATTTAGATAAATACTGTACGCACTAAAGTGAAATAATTTACTAGAAAAAAATGACAGTGTCGACATCTGTCATTGACATTACTTCACGCACTAGTGCGTGTAAAGTGGATTACTTTACGTACTAGTGCGTGAAGTGACATTTTACTTTACGACTTTTGAATAGTGCGTAAAGTGAGTATTTTACGCACGGTGTTAAAAAAAAATAATTTAAATTTTTTATGAAGGATGAATTTTTGTTTATTTTTTGCAAAAGTACATTTTTACAGGAATTAATTTTTAACCGTAACGATTGAAAAATTTAGCAAAGTTAGGTTGTTATCACGAACTCCGAGTTTTCCGGACATTCTTCCGAATTCCGGCTGGACTTCCCCGGGTACCCTAGAAACCCAAACATGTCCGGGTAAATCCGGACGTATGGAAACCCTAGTTTAAATTCACTGTCTAATATAATCAAAAGTTGCAACTTGTAACAGTACCTACACGATTGTTTATTTGAAATCAAACTTTGTTCGTGAGTAGTATGTATACAATTTGCGCAGTCATGGGCATGAGAACACTGGGAAAAAATGGAAAAATCGTGATAGTGAATACGTTGCAATTCATAAAGTCTAAAATCTTCGTTGTTCAATTTAGGCCATTTAGGGATGGCTTATCCAGAAAAAGTCCATGGAATCAGCTTATTGATCCGATCCAAACAGATACCTGTTTCACGTCACGGATCGAAAATTTCATTGTGCCACCAAAACTTTTTAAAGTTCAACACAAAAAAACATTTTTTAACTTTATTATTTGAATGATCTAGCCCAAACCATAGATGGAGAAAATGATTATCGACTTCGTTTTTTTCTGTACTTAATTTGTAGCGGTTGTTTTAAAAAATAGATGACGCTAGTAGTATCAAATCCAAATCAACCTACAGATAATCAATTTCGAAACTTTTCCTGGATGATCTCATTCGCTACAGTTTTTGACCTCTGTCGTAAATGTGACCGCATTCGTATCGTTATTTTAACCTTGATCAAATCTTGAATTTTTTGCCAGCAACTATTCGGTTGCCAAGTAGTGAGAAAAATGGAAAATTTTACATGAAAGCGTCATGTAACGACGAGTTTATGTGATATAATAATATTAGGAAAATCTATAAATTCGCGCCGGATATTGAAACGTTGAGTGTTGAGTCACATTTAAAATAGGTATCCATTGAGAAATGAGAGTTTATAGTTAGTCTTGCGAAAAATCGCGGTGTGTTTAGATCAATATAATACAATTTTAGGCAGTTTTAGTAAAACACCAAATCAATCAATTTAAAATGCATTTTAAACAAGTAACACATGTTATTTTTGATATGGATGGCCTAATTATAGGTGAGAATATCATAATATAATAAATGACTATAAAATTAATTTATATATATTTTAGACTCAGAGGCCGCTTACCACAGAATTCTGCAAAGCATTGCTCAACAATATGGCAAAGACTATAGCCATGAGCTGCTACTTAAAATTTTGGGAACCACAGAAGAAGATACAGCCAGAATATTTATAAAAGAGCTCAACATACCATTGACTTTGGAGGAGTTTTTGAAAATTTTTTCTAAAAAAACTGAAGAAGAGCTACAACATCCACCTCTTATGCCAGGTAAACTCTTGTTGGAACTTGGTACATTTAATGGTATTTTACAATATAGAAATATTTTAGGTGCTGAAAAATTAATCAGGCATTTAGCAAACCTTAATATTCCAATTGCTGTGGCAACATCCTCGTCGGAACCGTCCTATTTGCTAAAAACCAAAAACCATCAAAATGTATTTTCGTTGTTTAGCCATGTAGTGTGTGGCAGTACAGATCCTGAGGTGATAAATGGCAAACCAGCTCCTGATATTTTTTTGGTTTGCGCTTCCAGGTTCCCAGATAAGCCTGATCCTGCAAAGGTTTGTTACTTTTTGCTTAGTAGAGCTCCTATTATTTTTTCTGTATCTTTGAAATGGGTATAACTTTTTATACTCTTTCTCATTCAATCATTACTATAAAAGTTTCCAACTGTATGTACATCTAGTATGTACAAGCGTTCTAGAGTCTTGCTGATTCTTGCTTATTATAACATATTCGTTTTTTTAGTGCCTTGTATTAGAAGACGCTCCAAATGGTATAAGAGGAGCTCTTGCAGCCGGCATGCAAGGTGTGCTAGTTCCAGCTAAAGACGTTGAAGAAGAACAGAGAAGTTTCGCAACATTAGTTGTAGACTCTTTAGAAGAATTTCAACCCGAATTATTTGGGTTACCACCATTTGAATCCTAGACAATTATTAAAACAATTTAAACATTTTTGCTGTAGGTATATCAACATCAACTAATTAGTGTGGGTAGATTGTATTGGATATTTTTGATGTAATTTTTTTATTATCCATGGCACTATTGAGTATTATTTATTGGCAAACTTAAGTAGGGAATACAGGGTTCTTTTCAAAGATTTAAATGCTTTCTCATAAGAGTACTAAAATGAAGATTGCAGGTATATTTCCATAATATATTAATAAGGGATCCACAAAAAAAAAAAAATCACAGGAGTCCAGAAAATTTCATATTACGTATTACAGTATTAAATAAAACTGGATTTGATTCATATTTCAAATCTTTCTTCATCCAAATTGTCTAGAGGTCTTATAGCACAAAAATGGCCAGTCAAAATTTTGTGAAATAAACTTTTAATAATAAGCTTCAAACTTTCGACATTAATCAAGTTCCAAGGAGAACAAATAGACCTAGTTAAAAAAATTATTTGGACATTAGCCAAACATTTTAATAAGTTTCTCTGAAGCATGGTTTGTCATACCAAAAATGATTCAATTAATTTCATTATTGCACAATAATACGCTTATTTTTGAAATCAAAAGTTACAAAGTTGTGTTAAGTATTTTTTGTTTAGTTGTTCAATTAACACGAGTGATTATTTATTTGTAGCTATAATAACGTTACGTAAGATAGGTACCTACATTGTGATTGGTATTCGTGAGAATACTTTACCCATATAATATAATAATTTACAGACATTATATAAGTATCACAAAAATTGTGACTTCTGTGCACAAGGAATTATTATTACTTCATACTTATCTATTTTTGTCTGTTATATTATAGTGTGTACACTATTTTCACATTCCTAATATTATTCTAGTCTTAAAGTTAAAGAGCTATTTTTGTAGTACCAGATGAGTATACTTAACCAGACAGTATTTTTTGCTTGTTATATATTATGTGGTACTTATGTAAGTCAAAATAAATTACTTTTGGGTTGCAAATTGACGTTTCATAAAATATATAAGTGATCGAGTAGCTACCTAGTTTTTTTTTCTTCAGAGTAGGTAGGATCATGAGTGCTTGCAATAGGGAACAATCATATTTTTCAAAGTATTTTTTTTCTTATTGCTTATGTTTTCAAATATAAAATGTATATGTTTTTTTTTTGTTTTATGTCCTCATTGAAATAAAAAAAATATTTTGAATTTCAAATTATTTTCGTTGGCGCGAAAACGATTAGCTTCAAGATGGTGGCATTTGTGACGTCAACTGTCTGTAAACACAACGTTAAGGTCTGTTCTCACAAGAGCCTTTGATACTTTGCAAACTGTCGGAAAGAATCGCTTAGCTTGAACCTTCGACTGCATTGAAACTTGAAAGCGGTTATTTATGCGGTATGTCCATATTTAGTGCCATATTGTGACATTTTGTGTTTCAAATAGTTCATCATGGTTGATACAGGATTTACAAAAGCGCAGTCTGACAATCTTCCCTCTATAGACCCGTTTATGGTGGTTCAATATCAGTCGTGGCGTGTCGTGAGCTGATCGTGGACCAATCGTTCCACGATTCAAGAGTGAACCACGAAAGTGTGGACCGTGGATTTACGATCAGTGTAAACTACCCTTAACCTTAAATTACGAACAGTTGACGTCACTGGAAGCGGCCACATTAAACGTAACTTTTCCGCGCGAAACTTTTCAATTTAAAACTAATAATTGCCATATGACTATAATATCCATAAATTTAATACAAAACTTCTTATATTCAATATTTTACACAAAAATGTGCACCATAAAAACAAAATAAGCCATATTTATTTCTTATGAGAATTCCCTATTGTTCTGGAAAGTTTTTAAAAACGTTTTGAGTAGGTAGGTACTTCAGTAATTTGTTTTGTTCAATCCCGTCATTGAAAACTATTGTTTTTTCAAGAAACCAAATGTGAAAGAGTTATGAAGGTAAATTATGTGAGAAATTGCGCCGTCACACCGGCCAAACTGCCGAAATTGCAGCCTCCTGTTTGTTCAGTCATCAGTAAACGGTACGCTTTACGTTGAGTGGTTGCAATTCTCTCTAAGTGAGATCGTTGAGTTTAGTTTTGGAAAATTTTAAACGTGTTGGTACAGGCTGGTACCTATAATATTTTTGTCTTAGCCGTGTTCAGTTCTAGACCGATGCTTCCGTATGCTTATTGTTCAAATTTATTGGGAGTAGTTTGTATAGTCTGGCTAGCCAAACGGCGAACTCCAAAAGAATTTGCTGCTCTGCTAAACTTGACGGAAACAATGATAAATTAGTTGGTGACATATTTTTTTTGCTGTATGGCCATGTGTAGTATTTCGAAATAGAAAAAATCCGGCAACATTGCGAAATGATTGATGTGGAGAGGCGTGATTATTCAGAGGCATGATTCTATTGGTTAGAGTCTGAACGACAGCACGCAGTGGCGTGGTTATTGGCGAAACTAGAGAATTTTTTTCTAATAATTTTATTGATTTATTTCCTTGGTGTTTCCGGTGCCACTGAACCGAAAGACATGGCTGTCATCAGGCGGTGTCAGTTGAGGTGTCAGTGGATATTTTCAGGTTACGCCCCAGTTTTCTTCCCCCTTTCGTCTCTACCAAGTTACCACTTGCCAAACTATAGGTATTCCTCGGAGTTTGCCAGGACAGCGTTATCATCGGCACAAACAGTTTTTGTCGATACTTTGTCTTTGGTTCGAAGTCTGCTAAGATTGAAAAGCTTACCATCAGGAGATTTCGAGGCAGTGGCGACGCGTGACTTGTAGTCTGGGGGGGTAATGAGAAGACCCCCCGCTAACGCGCCGCAGACGAAATTTTTTGCAAATTTCAAGGTCATTCACTTTTCCAGAACAATTATTTCCTTTGTGAAGAAAATAAAACAAAAAAAAAATTTTTTTTCTTCAATATTATTATGTATTTTCTTTTGATCATCGTGATTTTTCCCTGGATTATTGGATCCTTGGGGGGTGGTAATTTCCCCCAATTCCCCCCCCCCCCCCCCCCGACGCGACGCCCCTGTTTCGAGGTGAACAAGGTGAATAACGGCTAGTAATTGTATATTACAATCCGAGACGGGAAATGCTTGATTACTGGTCGAGAGGTTTTATAGTTTATCGAGACGCGTAGCGTCGAGGTAAACTGAACCTCGAGACAGCAATGAAGTTTCCCGTCGAGGGTTGTATACTATTTTATTTTTAACCATAATTTCTTGAAAAAAAAAAATTCGGGGCAACCAAATGAGGTCGGCAAATGAAGAGGAAAATGAGAACGGGAAATATTTCCCTGCTCCATTTTCCGTCCGTGGACGGGAAATGAGGACGGAAAAAATTTCCCGTCCTCACTTCCCGTCCTGGAACAGGTAATGGAGCAGGAAAATGAAAAGAAAGAAATGTGACATTTTCAAATTTTTGAAAAGTCAGTAATTAATGACAACATTTCATGTATGGTTAAAAATAAAAATATAGAGAATAGGTTTGGCGTAATGAAACATCCTTGCTTGACTCCGGTTGGAATTTTAAAGGCTTTTTCCGGATCCGTTGTTGGTCAGGATAGTGGCGTTTATGTTGTCATGCAATACCTAACCGAAATATGTTGACAAATTTAAGCGGACAGCTGTGCAATGCCATTATTTTCCAAAGATCGAATAACAGAGTCAAACATTTGATAAAGGTCTATATACATGCCATAGAGAAAGATTAGATTTGTTTTGCTCTTTCGATTTTTCTGGCGTTTGTCTTATACTGAAGATCATGTTTTCTGTTCCTTGGTAAGTTTGGAGAGAATCCTGTCAATAATTTCTCCGCGGCTGTAGAGTAGAGAGCAGTGACTGTGCATAGCCTTTTGTTGAATGTTGAATGAAGTGGCGATAGAGCAATCCGTGGGAATAGGGTAGTGGTCAATTTTTTGAAATATTTTTTTTATTAATCTCCACAACAAAATAAGTAGTAGTTGATAATGCTTTGCTTTTAGAAAATAAAAATATACCTAAAAAAAAAATAAACAACTTTGTACTTATTTTAAACGCTATAATTTACCGCCCGGAAATTACGTCATAGCTGTTATATCTTATTAGGCATTCCAGGTTAATGTCATAACCGATCCGCCATATTAGTTTGGGGGGCACACAAAAGCCAAACATAACCTGATTCAATGTTAAACCAAGAATTTTCAATCTATTTTGTGAAGATGCCTTCTATTTGCTGCGTTGTTAGGTGCTCTAGTAGAGCGGAAAGAGATAAAGAAAGGTTTTTCAGGATCCCAGCAGCATTAAGAGATCTAGGGAATCGTCTAAACGAGCTAAAAAAGGAACGACGAAATCTGTGGATTAAATGCCTCAAAAGGAGAGATTTAACTGAATCGTTTCTGAAAAATGCTCGTATTTGTTCAAAACATTTTGTTAATGGTAAGTATTATGACTGTCTTGTTAAAATACAAAAACACATTTATATTGAAAAATTGGTTTGTTTCTACAAGTAATATTTACTTTTAATACCTTTTAGGTAGTCCAGCAGAACTTGAATAACCCTTTATATACGCCTTCAACTGCAAGCCTGTGTAGTAACTGTGGGTGTGGGTCAAATATTCGGATAAATCCAAAATTGAAACCTCTGGCAACTCATTGATACTTAAAGTAAACTCATTAGGTAGAAGTTTATAAGGATCTATATTGGCAATTATTTGTATTTTTTGGTCATACCGACATTTCACATCACTAGCTAACGATGAATAATAGTCAATGTTAGCCATTCTACCACAAAAACAACTTAAAACTTATTGAGAGAATTTAAGAACGCAAAAATTCGGAAACACAATCTCAAAGAACGGTGTAAATACTGATCTAGGCTTTGTTTGCCCCCCAGCGGACCTGTCAAAAGTCACGTGACCTGGAATGCCTAATAGCGTCAAGGCATTCCGACATTAATAAGAGTGGGCGAGAGCGCGGTCAGTGCGTCCTTATATTTTACATACTTCTAGA